GAGAGAGAGAGAGAGAGAGAGAGAGAGAGAGAGAGAGAGAGATACCTATGGCTAAGGGAAATGGCTCTGGGTTCAATCTCCAGTTCTAGAGTGGTGGTAGAGAGGAGAAAGATGAGAAGACAGGAAGAGAGAAGAGGGGAGGGGGAGGGAGGAGAGGGAAGGGGAGGAGAGGGAAAGGAAGGGAAGCAAAATTTTCTTGAACTATCAGAATGTCTCCTAGCCATTATCTCACTGGGCCTCTCACTAGAAATGTAAACATTCAGGCCCAGGAATGGGTAAAGAAGTCCTCCTGACTCCTGATCGCTCAGTTGTAGAACTGGCATGCGAACATAAACCCTCATCTACTATCTATTCTGACCACTCCCCCCACCACCAGGCTGTCATGAATATTTTTCCTTTCCCTTTATTAAGAGCTAATTTATGCATAGTAAAATATTGAGATACATTCTATACACAGTTCGAAATTCTCACTTAACTATAAAGTTCTGTGAGTTTTATTAAACATAGAAAAGTTTGTATCAATGATTATACTTGAAAATGTTCACTGTCGTCCCTAAAATCCCCTCATGCTATATATTACGTCCCTTTCTCCCAGCTCATCACTTAGCAACCGCTGATCTGTTTCTTGTCCCTATTATAATTTGGCATTTTTCAGAACATCCTGTAAATGGAGTTAGAATTATATATTAGGCAGCATTTTGGGCCCGAGTCCTCTCATTTAGAACAATGTTGTGATGGCCACCCACACTATTGCAAGTGTCAATAGCCCATTCTTAATGGTGCTGAGTAATACTTTGTTGCATAGGTTTATCGTGGTTCTTTGTTTGTTTGTTTTGTCATTCACTAGTTAGGGGACATCTAGATTCTTTGCATTTGGGGTCCACTAATAGCAAATTCAGTATAAATATAAAAGGATGGTTGGTGTGAGAATATAAGTGTGGATTTCCCTTGTGTACATGTCCAAAACTGAGGTTGCTGGGGCATGTAATTCAAATATACACTAAATTTTGTAAGAAACTGCCTATTATTTTCCTACTTTACATTTCCACCAAGTTATAAGAGTTTCAGTTTCGCTAGTGCTATTGCTTTTTTTAAATTTTAATTTGATCCATTCTGATAGATGGGTAGAGTTAGCTCATTAAGACTTTAACTTTTATTCTCCTCATAGCAAAGGGCTCAGAATATCTTGTAAATTTCTCATCCACATTTCTACCTTGATGGTGTATGAGTTCCAAACTTTGCCCTCTTTTAAAAATTGCATTGTTTTCCTATTATGTGGTTTTTTAAATAGTTAATGTATTTTGTCTATATATACTTCAACAAATATATGAATTTTTCCTGTCTTTTTCCTATCCATTCCCTTTAACACTGTCTTTATGTGTGTGTGTCATGTGTTTGGTGATATATATGTTATATAATTAACAGTATAGTTATATAATAATAATAATATATATTGATGGTGTATGAGTTCCAAACTTTGCCCTCTTTTAAAAATTGCATTGTTTTCCTATTATGTGGTTTTTTAAATAGTTAATGTATTTTGTCTATATATACTTCAACAAATATATGAATTTTTCCTGTCTTTTTCCTATCCATTCCCTTTAACACTGTCTTTATGTGTGTGTGTCATGTGTTTGGTGATATATATGTTATATAATTAACAGTATAGTTATATAATAATAAAATAATATATACAATATTATGTATAATATATTGTATATAATAATATATAATTATCATAATTATTTACAATAATATGTATAATATATGCATTATATATATATAATGTTCATCTAACCTAATAATACTGAGAATTTTCTCTATAATTTTGTTAAAAAAATTTTAGAGCCAAAATTTTTATATTTTGGTATATAACTCATTTGGGGGCTAATTTTTATATAATAATACACTTGATCTTAGCCAAAAGGCCGAGAAGCGATTTTTTATATAATAATATACAAGAGATAGTTTAAGATTCATTCTTTGTTCTTTTTCATCTTGCGTGTAAATATCCAAATGTTTCCCATCATGTGTTGAAAAGAATATCTTCTCTCTACTGGGTTTCTTGTGCCCTTTTCGTTGAATGTCAGTTGACCATGTAAGAATGAGTATGTTCCTGGACTACGTTTTACTTTACCAATATGCCTTGTCTTTCTCTGATATATTACTATATAATGGAGTTTACAAAGTCTTTGAGTTTTTTCGTGTTTGGGGGGGACAGGGTCTCACTATGTAGTTCATTCTGGCATTGAACTCAACATGTAACCCTAGCTGGCTTCGAATTTATGGTAATCCTCTTGCCTAAACCTCCTGAGTGCTGGGATTATAGACATGCACCATCACACCTAGCTAGACATCTCCACATCAGCTACAGAGTCTCCTCTGACTTCATTTTGCTGTTTTTGTTTTGTTTTGAAAATTGAACTGGTTATTCTATGCCTCTCTTTTTCTATTTAAACACAAAGAAAAATAATTTACTGTATGACCCAGCAATTCTACTCCTAAAATCACCTTGTCAGTTTCTAAGAGAATATCCTATTAGAATTGTGACCAGAATGATGTTGACAGTAAGTCATTTTGGAAAGAATCAATTTCTAATCTATGAATTCAGTAAATTTTATCTGAGTCACTTCTTTCAGCAAAACAGCAGTTTCAAGCACATATAATTTGTACATATTTTGTTAGTTATATACATAAGTTTTTGAGGCTATATCATTTTACAATCATTTACTCCTATCCTCATTTAATTATTTGCCATGTTCTGATGTGGCTAAACCACACCACAGATACATATATATGCATATATATATATATGTGTGTGTATGTATATATATGCATATATATACATATATATACACACACATATTAATTAATAATACATATCACTTGTACACTAATTGTATACATTTAAGAATGTTACAGTGACATTTTCAGACATACATACATGCATCTTACTTTAATCATATTCTTCTCTCTTTAACCCTCTCTTGCCTTAAACTTTTTCCCTTTTTCCCTGACCCCATACCATTCCACAATAGTCCCTTGCACGTTATTTCTGTATTTATTTTTAATTAATTTTATTGGTACTCTGGCTATACCGAACAATCACATTTATCATAGAGAATCTGTACCTGTATGTGATATATCTTGAATTTTCTCTTTTTTTTTTGTTCTCCTATTTTCTTTTCCCTTACTGCCTTTTCCATTTATTTGAGGTTACACATGAGAGAAAACATGTGATAGCTATCTTTCTATGTCTGGCTTATTTTTATTAACGTCTTCCAATCGCATGCATTTTGCTGTGAATGACATGATTTAATTCTTCTTTGCGAGTGAATTTATTCCACTGGGTATCTATAGCATATTTCCTTTTATCTATCTATTGAGTGCCTTACATTTTAAATGGATTTCTGGTTTTTAGATTTTTCTTGTTTTTATATTATTTCAATTTAATATATTTATTAATATTTTCATGATAAAAAATTCAGTGTTGTTAGGTATATTTCTTCTGTTTCTCATATTTTATCTACTTATAGTCTGATATTTGTGTGTGAACATCTTATCTCCACCATTTAATTGAGAGACTTTAATCAATCACAATTTGCTGTCCATTTATAGTGTTAAGTTAAACAAATATATAAACACACACACACACACACACACACACACATCCCTTTCTCTCCATCCAGGTGTCAAAGTGATGCATAGCAAAGTACCTCTTCTGGAATGTTGCCTCCACCCCAGCCATAGTTCCGTAGCTGCTAGGAAACAAAATGCATTAGACCCTTCAGTGCCTTCCTTGTTCACACCTGATCCCTGGCTGCCACTTTGGCTCTCCTTCCGGGGAGACTGTAGAGTTGGCTGCCCCACTGGGTCCACATTCTCCATTTCACACTCTTCCTAAAAACCCGTGGAGCACTCACTGTGCTTATTCCACAATCTCTACTTGGCAAATCACAGTTGTAAGCAAAAAGTATTCGAGGAGAAATAAGGCATGACTCATTCCTGGGAGGCCTGTAGTTAATAAAGGTGGCAGTTATATAAACAATGACTTATGATTCAGGACAACACATGGTATCACAGAGGTGTGTGCGGGTTGAGCCACAGGAGAAGCGATTAAGTCTGCCATGGATTAGATCAGCAGTGTGGTCAGAAGGAAGCAATATTTGAAGAATGAATTGATGAGCCCAGAGTGTCAAGGAGAACAAACAGGATGATAGGAGAAGTCAAGGTTTGGGAGTATTTCTGGTCAGGCAATGTTGGGGGTGGGAGGTTATAATGCAATGTCAATATTTACTAGAAATACACAGTGGTAAAGTCTTTACAGAATAATCTCATTTCCACTCCTAAAATCTTTATGTGGTTGATACACCAGTTGTCTTCATATGGAAGATGGAGAATTGACGTTTAGAGAATGCTGTGGCAGGGTGGGATATGTGCACAGCTCCTCGCTGCGAATACACAATCACCGGGACCCTAAAATGTCAGCCCCAGTAATGAATTAAAGAGGCAGAGTTTAAAATAAAAAGAGATGGTTTTTTTGGAAAAAGGTTTAACCCAAAGGAAATAGACAGCCACCCTGGGAGAGTGAGGGGCATCAGAAATGAATACCGCTGAGAAATCGTCCCTGGAATCTTTCATTTAGGACTAGTGATTTTCCCATCCCTCGTGCGGGCACCTGGAAATTGCTGCTATCTGGCTTGCTCTCTTGGCTGTCTTTGATCCTAATTTAGGTGAGTCTACCTACATCCTTTCTGGCTGTTTGGTTTCTTCCTGTCCCTCTGTGATGGGTAAGTGGGAGGGAAGCCTTATAGGAAGGTAGCTTAGACTTAATGCTTAGGGAAAGGGAACGTGTGTATATCTAGTGCAATAATATAATGATGTTAAAGTGAGAACACACATACATATGAGTATGTGTAGGTGTGTGTGCATGTCTGTGAGTGTTACATACTAAATAAGAGCTTGTATGTGGTTGCTGTGAGGCGGGGGGCTAGTTTCCCTGATCTTTTATGTTTCTGGTTTCCTCAATTTTTTTTTAACTTTTCTGGATAAATTCTTAATGGTAATGGTGTTACTGGTGCCTCTCTGTCTAGTTCCTCTCTTTCCTTTATCTTCCTAATTGCTCAAATAGTAGAGTCTATCCGTGGAGGAAGAAACTGCTTTTAGTAAATTTCCCTATTAATTTTGTTGTTGTTGTTGTTGTTGTTTTGGTGCCGGGGATCGAACTCAGGTCCTTGCAAGGCAGGCCACCGAACCGCTGAGCTAAATCCCCGGCCCTCCCTGTTAATTTTTAATAAACCTTATCTTTTTTTTTTACCTAGGCACTACCTTCCCCTCCAGAGAATATACGGAAATCCCCAAATAAAAACCTCAGCAACTGACAAGATTTTGAATTGTTCTACAGCTAGGACACAGACACCAACCCAGCTTGGGGGAACAGATTCAAACAGCCATGTGCATCTTTCTGGACTTGTGAGAAATACTGGCCCCACTGAAGTCACACACTGAGTGGAGTTCATGTGCCCCGTGCTCAAACAATTTGGATATACTAATCCTGAGACAAAGTGGAAACAGGGACTATGAATGAAGTATGAAAGGCCTTAGCTATAAGCAGTAATCAGGGAAGTCATTAGCTATGGGAAATGGCACTTTTAGAAAGATCAAAATGGCAGCCATGTGGAGAATAACCTGCAATATAGACAGCCGCACATGAGGAGGACTGGGCTGCAGTTACAGTGGCCCTGTCCCAGTTCCTAACTGTGCTAATCATTGCAGAAGTCAAGTTAGCAACTTATTGTTTATTATTTTGTTTTATTTTTTGAGACAAGGTCTCCCTTTGTCATCCAGGTTGGCCTCAGAGTCTTGGTGATCCGTCTTCCTCAGCTTCTTGAGTGCTGGGATGACAGGTAGTCACCACTACTACACCTGGCTAGTTGATAAACTCCAAGAATATTTGAGGGAAGAATTGATTGGATTTCATTCGAAAATTGACTCTGTGGTAATAAAGAGTTACAGAAAACTCACATTTGTAACCTGTACAGAAAACTCACATTTGTAACCTGTAATGGAGAGGACTGATATGTCTTTACCTGCTGACTAGGGAAATAAGAACGGAGAAAAAGTTCTTCGCAAAGGGTTTTAATACTTACTGAGGTTGTTTGTTTTTTTCCCTCACTCACTATCCCCAAATATATTCTGTTCTGTCTCTCCTCTGTCTTTTTTCCCTTGTATTTTCTTTTCCTAACATGTATATTAATGAAAGCAAATTTTAAGACTCAGTTTGTTCACTTGGATTTTTATTTCTCATGTGAACACTCAGGAACTGACAGTTCATTCCTGGAGATATGTTATGCTCTTCAGCCCTTCCGTGCCCTTGCCAATCCCACTCTTCCTACCTGAAGTGTCGTCTCTACATCTTGCTTGCATAGCGAACACCTACACAGTTACCTCTCCAGGCCCAAGCAGATGATACCTCCCTGACCCTCTCCGCCAGGCATTGTTAACCACGCCCTGTTTGTCTCCTGTAGGAATCTGTTCACATCTTCATTAACATTTTTTTATATTTAAACTGCAATTATATTGTTACAAGTTTGCAATCTTGATGAAGGTCAGGTCAGGGAATGGCATGTTGTGTTTCCTTGCTCACAGGGCCTAGCAGAGATTCTGGTAAAGAACACAAGCTCAATAAATGTTCATTGAATAAACAAAGGAAGTAGAGGGTGAAATTTGTCTAAGTTACAAACTGCATACAGATAGGTCTTAGGGTGACAGGGTGTACAGCTGTTGCTGTGCAGGTGAGCATCATAGGAATAGGAACCCTCTCAGAAGCCACAGGTCTCTCTTCTCAGGGCTGCTCCAAACTTGAGTTCGAATGAACCAAAGCTCATGATTTGTTTCTGAGGGAAACAAGGGACAAACATATTTCAGATGTGATTTCTTCATGAGGGATAATCCAGCATGAAACTTTCCAGATGTCATGCTACCAAGGAACCGGGGCCTTTTAATAGTATGCGGTTTCCATGATGATTTAAACTTCTCAAATAGTGATGTTTAATCATGTTCGACTCCTTCAGCTCTCTGATCATAAGAATGTGTTTACACAGGTTCTCTGGGTAAAGTTGCCAGATTCTGCAAATAAAATGAAAGGGCGCCCAGTTAAATTTAAACTTCAACTAAAAGAGAATAACCAGACAACTAAAAATCTCACTCAACAACAAAGGTTTTTAAGTATATCTTATGATGTATTTGGCAGATGCTTACACTAAAACTTACTCATTGTCTATCTGAGATTCAGGTTTCATGAATTATCCTATATTTTGTCCTACAGCCTTTTTTCTAGTTCATTTTGTAAAGAGTTAAAATAGGCACTGTGTACGCTGTGTGGTTGATACATTACAGTGCACCAGACAGATGAATGATGTGGACCAGAACGTCCTCCAGAGACGGATGAGAAATGAAGAGGCCTATGAGAGAATCAGAGATCCAGATGAACTTGTGGACAGGTAGGCTGGTGACTCCGGGGCTGCTTGCTCACTCAGGCAGTCTGCCAGCAGCAGCTACTACATACACCGGCAGTGCAACAGTGTATTAATCAGGAGCAGGAACTTTGGCATCGTTTATTCATGGGTCCAGTTTCCTACTCTGTCTAATACGTGTTTTGTAATGCTGGGCAAATTACCTAACTTCTCCAAGCTTGAATTTCATTCCATAAAACGGGGATAACAATGGAAGACTCCTGATAGCTTTGTCAATATGTTGTATCTCGTTTGGCACCTGACTAGACTGGGTACCTTATTATTGTGATTGTTATTTTTAGTTCTAATGCCATTTGCATGGTTGTCACTCCCTTCTCTGGGCCAACCCAGAGTAGAGTGAAATAGATAAAATGGAATAGAAAAGACTACACAGAATAGAATAGAAAGGAATTATGTCAATCATCATGTAAAAGGCTCTTGTCTCTGGGTATATATTTCCTCATCCAATCCACATAACGAGAGTTATTATTATTATTCCTATTTTATAGACATTGAATCCAAGGCACAGAAAAATCAGGAAATATTTTAAGGTTGCAGATTTAGCACAGTTTCAAAGGGGCCTACATGAAACTCAAACTTAGTTCTCTCTGAACTCAAAGCCTCTGCTTTTAGCTACGAATACTGACGCTGAAATCTCTCCATGAGGATGCAACCCAAATTGAACTTGAGGAAAAACTATTCATGATTTTCACTTAAGTATGAATACATCCATAGAAATTAAAGCATTTCTTTTTTTCGTTTACATAAGTCCCAGCATCCTCTTTCCAGATTGAGTAAAGGCTCCTTTTATAATCTCAATAAAAGTCAAATTCATTTGGTTACATCCACGGATGACAAGCCGCAGCTCCATAACTGTTATTACTATGGCACACATGAGAGGTTGTTTACAGTCTATCAGGTATTTTACCACTCTTAGCCCAACTAAATAGGCAAGAAATTATATTATGGTATGCCCCAACTCAACAGATGAAACTGAGGCTTGGAGTAATATCCATGATTTAACAAACTTACAAACATTAGCAGACAGAACCATTAGAGGAGTTCAGGCATCTCTTCTAAAAAATATTCATTAATTCGTTTCCTTAGTGTATATTTTTTGGATGTTTTCTAGATACAAGACCCTATGCCAGAAACCAAAGCTGTCTCAGAGAACAAAATCCTTCCATCTTGGATTTGGTATCCTTGGGCAAAGACACATTAAAATATTAAAGAAAAAAATCTTTAAGGACTAAGAAGAAATAATACAGAGTTTGTATAGGAATTAACAGAGGAATATGAGTTGGGTTATAGATCACAGAAGATTTCACCATGAAACAGAGATTTGGGCTAAGTAAGAACTGAAGCTAAGGGCAGGGGCAAGGGGAAAAAATGAGAACCAAGACCTGTCATGTAGAGGTACGAGATCCTAACAATGACTGTAACTATACTGTATTCCTAAAATGTACCAATAAACTCAATTAAAAAGAAAAAAAAAAAGAACCAAAGCTAGGAATTAGAATCCAAGAAAGGGGACAAAAAGACACAGCAAGCAGAGAAAATGGAGACTCCACACCTGTAGGTATTTAATCCTGGCCACTCAATGAATCCGTTGTACTGACACAAAGTGAGGGCTCTCCTGATATTCAGGATACTGCTGTTTTCTTGACACCTGACCACCAAAAGCATATGCTGAATCAGAGATTCACATGTCCAATGTAGCTGACTCAGGAAATCAGCAGAATTCTGTTCTAAATTGCAAAGTTTTTGCTTGTCTGTAGTGTTCTTGTAGTGAGTTAGAAAAATTCAACCCCGCCTGGAATGTCATGTGACATTACCCTTTCCAGGCCAACCCAGCTATATAACAGAATCCATGGTAAGATTCACAGAGACATCTGAATGTTGTTCCTCCTGTAATCCAGTGGACCAGTACCAAGCTCAGCTGGCCCTGATGAAATAAATCTAAGTTGTTGAAAGTTTCCTAATGTGGCTGATTTTCTCTAGAGCACTTTTGGTGCAGAAGAAAGAGAACCAGAGGCTTTTTAAAGAAATGGGTTGGAGAAGCCTGATGAGCAGAGCTGCCTGAGTTCTTTCAACAAAGTGCGTTGTGCCTTTGAAAGAATCCAACTATGGGAGAATAGCCTTTGTCCTGATCTTGGCTCTGAGATACTGCACAGGGCTCCTTTTCCCACATGTTCATTAATTTACCCATTCATAAAGTGGCCTGCTGATATCCGGCGCAAAGTTTTGGTCCTTGCAAGTCCTTATCCCAATTAATTGAGCATACAGCATCCTCAAGATAACTAGTATCATCTATCCTGAGACAAGTTTTAGACCCCTGAGTGCTTGTATACAAAAAAGGAGGGTGAATTGTATCTGCAGTAGAGAACAATGATACATTTTGTTCCATCCAAAGAAAATTATTTAATCCACTTAATCTAGTTAGCTATTTTTTCTTTTCCCTTTGAAACATGGTAAGGCAGACTTTGGTAAAGTATAGGTATAGGGACTGCTGCCAGTGGAATCTTCCAGGGGAAGGGAAAGACTAGACTCAGTTTTCAAATTTTTCTTCTTTTTCTTTTCCTTCCTCCCTTGCTTCCTCTCTCTCTTTCCCTGCCTACTCATCTCTGTTCACTATACGTCTAGAATAATAAATATTCAATTCTAAAAATAACAGTCTTTCCTCTAAGAAGCCTTATTGGTGGAGACATTTAAATGTCTCCATTTGTTTTTCTTGGAAGAACTAGGCAAAGTCAAAACTGAGACCAGTGCCAATCACTAGGCTACTTGAGGTTCACAAATAATAAAACACTCTTTCCTTAAGAGATTTGAAGGCTAGAAAGCAACCTAAGTCTTCAGCATCAGATGAACGGAATGGATAAAGATGAGTAGCTTTATGAACACAGTGGACTATTGTTCAGCCTTAAAAAGAAAGTCTGTCATTTGTGATAGCAGGCATTACTGTGGAAGACCTTATATTAGTAAAATATGCCAGACTCACAAGGACAAATACCACATGACTTTACTTATACAGAAATCTAAAATAGGTAAACTCGTGAAAGCAGAGAAAGGTGTTTACTAAGGGCTGCAAGGAAGGGCTGGAGACATGCTTTCTGAAGAATACAAAATATCACCAGTTGGACAGGAGGAATAATTTCAAAAGATCTATCGTCCAACATGGTGATTGACTATAATTAATAACAATGTATCGTATACCTGAAAATTACTGAGAGTAGATTTTAAGTATACTCACCACTGATAAATGGCACGTGAGGTAACACATGCTAATTGGCTTGATTTAGTCATTAACTGTGTATGCATGTTTTAGTACACATGTTGTAGTTGTGCATGTTTTTATTTATGAGTTTTATAGATAAATATTATCTAAATAGATGATAGATAAGTAGATAGATCCACAGGCTGGGGAAAACAATTACTAAAATACTTAGCTTTCCATCTCTGGGATCAAGGATTCCATGGAGCAGATGAGGAAGGCACAGTTCGTGGAAGGGCATGGTCAGGGGCAATGCAGTCATCCCAGCACATGAGAAAAGAAGCCAGGCACAGGAGGGGAGCAAGCACATTTTCAGTCTGATGTGTAGTTGTTCCTCAAGGCTAAATAGTAATTCTGCCTCCTAACCATCTAATTATCCATGCTGGCACTGGAATAGCCACTTTCATATTCTTTATAGGTGTACAGAACATTAGAAAACCCAAGAGGGCCTATCTTTCCTTATTAAAAACCTTTAGATTTTGAAAGACAGGGCAGGGCTCGATGGTAGCGATCCCAGGGTAAGCTGTGCAGACATCTCGTTCAACAACCTAAATTCCACAGCAGATGACATCACTTATGGATGCCCTATAAATGAAGCAAAGCCCCAGCGCTGCTGAGCTATTTATCTGCTTCTATACGCAGTACCACAAGAATGGCTTTCTCGGTACTTCGGCTCACAGTCATACTGGGACTGCTTGTCTTAATACTGACCTGCCATGCAGGTAAGTGCTTTGGATCACAGCCCTGAACGGTGCATAGGGAGCAAGGATTGGGGGAAGTTGGCTCTGACCCCAGAATCTAAAGGGGAGGGGCCCTTGGGCACTACAAAGAGGCAACAGAGGACACACGTATTCCAACAAAGGAATGGCTTTCACTATCGTCTGCTTCAGTTAAAACTTCCACCTTCAGTAAATGTTGGAAGTTTGCACTATTTTTTTTCTTATATAGTCATACTGGATGGTGACACTCCTTATAAATCTCTTGAGAGCTGGGGAAATGTTTTTGTTTGTTTGCTTCACTTTGTTTCACTGAGACAGGCTCTTGCTATGTAGCCCCGGTTTGGTCTTGAACTTGCAGCAATCCTCCTGCCTTAGTCTCCCAGACGCAGGGATTACACACCTGCACCACCACATCTAGCTTGGAGTGGGAGATTTTTTTTTTTTTAATGATTATAACTTCTAATGTTCAAAGGTGAAAAATACATGCTCTGGAATAAGACTGCTAGTGTGTCTCTCCCACTAACCAGAAATGTAGCTTTAGGCTAATTAGTTAATCTCTGTGGACATCATACGTACAAAGGAGCACTATAATGTTCATCTTCTCATAAAGTTATCATGAAGATTGGATTTAAAAGACAATAAATTGGAATAGTATGTACTCCATAATAAGCACCCAATAAATATTAACTGTTATGTTATCATGTGAAATTTTGGGGGAGGGTTGGTTGTTGAGACAGGGTCTTGCTGTGTAGTTCAGGCTGATCTTGATTTTATTATGTAGTCCAGGCTGGCCTTAAACTCACAGTGATTCTCTTGCCTCAGCCTCTCAAGTGCCGGGATTACAGGTGTCCACCACCATGCCCAACAATCTGAGTAACTGTAATTGACTATTTTTCATAATTCTAGTGTCTTAGTTACTCTTCTCCTATTGCTGAGACAAAACGCCCAGCACTCAAAGTTAAAGGGGGAAAGGTTTATTTAGCTCAGTTTATAGGAGTTTCAGTCCATAATCGGCTGGCTTTGAGGCAGCAGACAGGTATTGCAGAGGAGAAAGAGTTCATGATGGGCAAAAAGAAGCAAAGTAATAGGGGACGACTGCCGCTCTTTCTATTCCTTGTATCTTATCCAGGCTACTTAAAGCAGGCAGCACTCACACCCTCAATCCTAGTGACTTTGAGGCTGGCACTGCACCACGAATCAAGCCCTGCATCAGACACTCTAGATCCAGCCACCTCTGAAAAGCCCCACCTTTGCCCGTAGAGACTTTGGGGGGAAATCTAGACACAGCTGTAACACCTAGTAGGTAAACATGCTTGCTTCTCTCATTTTCCTTCTTAGACCTTGATAAACTGAGCTTGCAGAAGAAAGTTACTTGAGCATAGATACAGATGGAGGTGGCATCTGGTAGTGAAACCTGAGTTCCTAGATTCTTTCCCTCAAACTGATATCTGATCCAAGCATTGTAAGAACCTCAAGGTTCATTCATTCATTAATTTTTTTTGTCTGCCAAAGATTTTCAGCCCTTGACTTGTCTCTCAACGGTGCAAGTGGTTACCAATAGTCCCTTGATGGTAACTTGATAGAACTCACACCACTCACTCACTTTACAACAGAATGACTGTAGAGGGGGATGTTGACTCTGCTGCTAGAGTGGCCAACGCAGAGAAAGGAAAAGTGAGATTCGTGTCCTAAAGACCAGAACTAGTTCCTTCTTTTATGAACTTTGCAATGGTGGTTAAATAATTTCACTGTTTTGAGTCTCAATTTCTTTATCTATAAAATCAAATAACTATCAGCCTTGTAAATAACACACTTTTATCATCACTGCATGAACTGTAAAAACTGTACAAATACAATGCTATTATTTGCTCACAAATTGAGTACGAAATTCATATTGAGTGAGAAATTCAACCAGATAGTTAATGAACATGAAGGATTTTTTAGAATATATCTGTAAAGAGATAGTATTCAATTATTCAATTATTGGCTTTGATAATTTGTTGAAAAGGATAAAAGTTCTTGATATTTTAATAGTAGGTTTAAATCTTCATAATCTCCGGAGGTGCTCAAGAAGAGAGTCAGGAATAATTTTGTTGCTATCATCTTTGATAGTGATAATAATATCACAGAAAATGATTGCTACGATCTTACCTTGGGCCTCTTATTCTACACGCACTATATAAATATACAGACGAATGTGCACACACATGTATGATGTCTACAGGAGACACATAAAACATCTTTTATCCCTGACAACACAATGAGAAATCAGAGGCAGTGGTTAAGCATTATGTACAAGGCAACACAGCTAATACTTTGCTGAAAACAGGAAACAAACTCAGGTTGGAAGACTCCAAACCCTGTAATGCTCCATACTTCTCAGGATGTGGGAGCTTCAAAGACTGAGGTCGAGTGTGACCTTCACACATTCCCATTGCAGGCTCCTTGTGTATTGAAAAGCTAGTATTAGTGTCAGATTAAAATTAAAAGTCAATCAAATTAAATTGTTATGAAAGCAGATAGGAGTAAATAGGAGAAAATTCATCTTTCACATAAGGAAATATTGCCTTGCACTTGTCAAATGTCTTCAGAGAACAATTGCTTGGAAGTAGAATTCTATAATGTGAAAAACATGCTCTTAAAAGCATTCAGGCTCAAAATCTGGCTGGGCCTCTTTCTGGATGAATGATTTGAGTAAGTCATATATTTGCCCTGAGCATCTGTATTATCTTCTGTAAAACTGCAACAGCACTGCTGAACTGAATACAGATAAAGGCATGTTTTGTAGCTTCTATCCCATTGTTAGCACAACTGGCATCCCGCGAAAGTTCTGTTTCCTTCCACCTATGATGAACACAAACCAGTTCTGGGAATATGATTGCGTTGCGTTTTAGGTGAGGAGCAAGTGTGTATTTATCCTTTTTTTAAAAAAACAAACCTTACCTCTTAGGTAAAAGCACTTCACACATATTGCCAGACTTAGGAAAATGCTCTCTGAATGAAGACATGAACAGCTGAATGAAGGAATAAATACTTGATAATTAGTATACACATTTTTGTTATAAGTCCAAGATTATAATCCTATCAAATATTTAGTTTTGGCATAGTAAACAATAAATGTTTGCACATTTGAATGGCAGTATTTTTAATGACTAATTTTCATAGGATGTTATACTAGTACAAAGATTTTTACATAATTTGATAGTCTTCACAAAAAGCTAGTTATGCGTCCTTTATCTTTATTGGCTTTATTGTCTAGAATTGGGGACTTCATGAGTCAAAACTTGAAATGGGGTGGCTAGATAAAATAAAAGATGCTTGGTTAATTGGCATTTCAAATAAGTAATGAGTAATCTTTTAGTATCATTCCTAAATATTGCATGAGTCACTCTTATACAGGAAAGATATTTGCTGTTTATCTCAATTTTAAATTTTACTTAGCACTATGATTTTATGTGCCAACTCTGCTCACATTACTTGTCAGGCTACAATAAAATTAAAAGATAAAGGTCCTACTTCATTCTGTCACCAGGCTCACTGTACAAATTGTAGCTGCTGTCATTCTTTCATTAGTTCTCATATCCCAAAAATTAAAAACGACTAACCAAAGTCAAACCCTGGCAAGGGGGCTTCATGGAACCAGCCACATTCTCTGGATCCTTGGCGCTCAATCCACAGGACATTTGGCTAGGGGCCAAGAGAAAGAGGCCTGCAGTGATGGTTCCATCTCTCCTCCTATTCTTTGTAAGGTCTTCTGCAAATCCCTAATCTTTTCAGTTTCTCAGCCCAGTGAGCAAAAAAATGTACCCATACGATGGGCCAAGGGTAAAATTACATAGCACTTGTAAAATAATTATTTGTGTAACTATTAGATGATATACCAGTGATAGAATTTCTTTCTCATCATCATCATACTACTTTCAAAGAAAGTAAACAAATAAAAATTGTGCGTTTTTTGCCAAAGACTGTATAGTCATCACAGAGTGTGTGAAAATACACAATTTAATATCAGACACACATGGGTTGAATTATACTTCTGCCACTACCCAACTCTTTGACCTTGAACCAGTTTATTCAACCTTTCTTCAATTTCATCTCTTCAGCTCTAAGTTGAGGTAATGCCTCTTCCTTCCTTACGGAGTCTGGGGAGGGACAAAATGAAACGATGTGTGTGGATCGTCTTTCACAGTCACGTGTTCAAGAAATGCTAGCCATTGACATTTCATCTCCACCTAATTCTGCTGTAAGCAAGGGGATTCCAGGAAACACAAGCGTTCTTTCGTATTCCAACCCTGGGACTAGCATTTACGAGTTGCTTACCTCTGGGAAAGGTATTCCTGTAAGCTTCAGTTTTCTTACCCACGTAGTAGAGCCAATGTTTATTTAAGCATCAGTTTTTGTTTCTGTAATACATGAAATAACTCATGTGAAGAATGTAACCAGGAGGTATGAGACATTTAAGGGTTCCCTATAAGGAAAAGAGATTTATTTTTTGGTATATTTTGATGGAGTCTCCCTGAGTTGCCCAGACTGGGCTTGAACCCTTAATTCTCTTACCTTAGTCCCACACTGCTAGTATTGCAGATGTGTTCCACCCCTGCTGAGACTTCCCTTTCTTATTTCTTTTTCTTTTCAGGGCTGGGGCTTGAACCCAGAGCCTTTGCACATACTATGCAAAGAGAGATATATCCCTAGCCCCCCTCACTTATTTTGATGAATTACCTCTGAGATTCTGTTTTCTTTCAGATGACAAACCAGAGGAAACACCAGTAGAGAAACCAGCTAATTCAGAAATAAAGCCTGACACAGACATCCCCAAATTCCTAAACCTCCTGGGCACAGAGATCATTGAGAACGCAGTTGAATTCATCCTTCGCTCTATGACCAGGGGATCGTAAGCACCGAGACAAATCTTGCTTTTGTTCTATTCCTCGTTAATAATGACTATATTAAAAAAATAAAAATAAAAAATAAATATGTAATGACCATATGGTCTCAAAATGAATAAAAAAGGAACTTTATACCACAAATCAGTTCATTACTTTCCACTGAAAAGTATCATCCTACTTTAACAAAAATTCCATCCAGATGAACTAAATATATATATATATATACACACATCCTTAGGACTAAATGGGGAAGAGGCTGAGCCCTGAACCTGGAAATAGAAAGTCTTTCTAGGGCTGGGGATTTCGCTCAGTGGTTTCACCACCTATCTTGGAAGTATAAGAGCCCAAGTTTGATCCCCGGTTAAAAAAAAAAAAAAGTCAATTTCTGGTCCTGACTCGGGTGCTATTTTGCTATGTGACTTGAGCAGAAGGTGGTATAGGCAAGGCTAATGTCATGCTTTTTATTTTTAAACAAGTATTCCAGGTGATTCTGATATAAAAGTCATTCCCTAATCAGATGTTCTGAGCTACATACTTGAGCCTTATGATTTCACACAGCTTTTTGATTTTCATTCTTGCCTTCTATTTGATTCTCAACCATAATGAACAAGTAAAGAACCATTTCTATGTAGTATGATTGGGAATCTTCTTGTAATCCCTGACCTGTTTAAATCAACATATATTTGGCTAAGCAGGGTCCTACATATCACCTTTCTCCACAAATTGCTAAAATGCACAGCTGTTTCTCTTTTATTGTTATTTTTCCTATTGCATTTGTTTTTGTTCTCTAAAGCAGGTGTCCACAACCCCTGGCTCACAGAGTGGTATAGGTCTGTAGTCTGTGAGGAACCAGACCACACACACAGCAGGAATTGAGCAGTGGGAGAGTGAGCAAAATTTCATCTGTGCTAACAGTAACTCTCCATCACTTGCATCACCCCTAAGCTCCACCTCCTGTCAAATCAGCAGTAGTATTAGATTCTCATAGGAACATGAGTCCTACTGTGATCGGTGCTTGCCAGGGATCTAATTTGTGTGCTCCTTATGAGAATCTAATGCCTGATCATCTGAGGTGGAACTGAGGTGGTGATGCTAACACTGGGGAAAGGCTGCCAATAGAGATTCACACTGGCAGTGAGGTTTGACTACAGAGACCATAATAAATTAATTCCTAGCACATATATCAAAATCCTATTAGTAAATGGCAAGTGAAAATTAAGCTATGTTTTATGGCTGGCTTTCAAGCAACAAGTGAGTTGATGTATTTCAAATGTACAACTGCATCTAATGGGACGCTGCAAGCCAGAATCTGGCATTATCTTAGTGTGTGCATGTCCTGCCCGTAATTTTATTTGTCACTTCTTTACCTCTTTCTCTCACTGCCCACTCCTCTCAGTCACAGTTTTGGTGAACCTATAAGCTAACCCTAGCCAAAATGAGTAAAAATAATCACTAGAGACTTTCTTGAAGGACATAATGCTAATTGTGCTATAAAGGTACATTGTTATGGGTGTATAATACCCACCTTTATTCTTTTGAACCTATTGATGAATTAGTAATTTTAATTTTATGAATTTTATTATATTAAACAATGAGTACATAATAGGAAAAAATATCAAAAATAAAGTATTGAATTTTTAATATTTATTGAGTGTTCTAGCAGAAATATCAAATGACAAATCCTTAATGCACACCTGCTGCTGCTGTGGAGCTCCTGGGCATACCTTGCCATTCATCTGCCAAGTGGGTGAATGCACCAAAGGTTTCTTTCTGTCTTCACATCCAGCTAGTCTGAGCCACATTCCACTGCGGTAAAGTATATGTTTATTTAACAGAAGAATGTCGTGGGTGTATTTTACCCACCATTATGCTCAGACAATCACACACAGAAACTGTTAGATGGGTCATTATGTGAGTAAAAATCCCAGTTTGACACTTGGGCACAGGTGCACACAGTTTGACAGTTTGTCAGTTTGTTGTACCAAAAGGTTGAACACAAAGATATGGCTCTTGAGACACATAGCTAGCTACTATTATTTTAAAGTGCAAATTTACTGTAGAAAAGTATGGGAAGGGTTGTTGTAATAGAATGTTATGCCCTTCCGTTTAAAAAGAAAGAGCCAAAGATGAGACTGCAGAAGATTCTACAACAGTCAACAAAAAGAAAGCTGCATTTAAAATAAAATACCAACCGTCGTACTTAAATTATAGGTTCACTGCAATAGGTAACTCACATTCTCCAAGCCCATTTGTATAATATGTGGCAACGAGCTGTTCAATGAAACTATAAAAGTTTCAAAACTTCTTTGCCCCTTGGCGGCTAAACTCTGTGTTAAAAGACCAGACTTTGGAGCGGCGGGGTTTCCAACGGAGACTGCAGCCTCAGTCCCAGCCAGCGCCGCCAGGAGACCCCTCCAGTCCCTTTCCGCGGGCGGCCTGCCCAGCAGGAACATCATCATCAAGGATGGTACAAAACAGAATAGGCAGCGGAAGAAGATAGTGACATTCAGCAGCGTGCCAACAGAAAAGAAGAGAATGAAAAGATGAAAATAAAGTGTTTGTAGATGGGGAGGGGAGGAGGGGGTGAAGGGAGGGCAGAGGTAAGGGGAAAAAAATGAGAATCAAGACTTGCCATGTAAAGGTACATGATCCCAACAATGAATGTAACTGTACTGTATCCCTAAATGTACCAATAAACTCAATAAAAAAAAAAAAAGAAAAGAAGATCAGCAGTGCAAGTGATTGTATCAATTCAATAGTTGAGGGTTCAGAATTCAAAAAGGTTCGCTCCAACTCTAGAATATACCATAGGTATTTTCTGCTAGCTGCTGACATGCAAAGCTTGAGGTGGGAGCCATCGAAGAAGGATTCTGAGAAAGCCAAGACTGGTATTACATCCAACAAGGAAGTAAGAGCAGGGAAGAATGCAGACATATTTCTCAGCAATGGCGTTTCAGACCAGGTATCTGAAGATTGTGCGTTTTCAGTCATGTACCGAGAGAATTATGAGTCACTTGATTTGGTTGCCAACTCTGCAGATATTGCGAACATCTGGGTAACAGGACTTCAGTACCTAATTTCTTTCCTTGTGCTTGCAAGGCAGGCGGCAGAACCATTGAGCTACATCCCCCACCCTCAGTACCTAATTTCTTATGGAAAACATACACTGGATATGTTCAAAAGTAGCCAAGACAATATGAGGACTTCCTGGGTTTCACAGATGTTTAGTGAAATTGTTGTAGATAGCATTGGACACATAACTCTGTGTAAGGCTGTACAATGTGTCAGAAATCTCAACCCTGGTTTAAACACTAGCAAAATTAAGTTTAAATTCAAAGAATTGCATAAATCGAAGGACAAAGCTGGTACAGAAGTCACAAAGGAAGAATTTATTGAGGTTTTCCATGAACCTTGTGCTAGATCTGAAATTTATTTCCTTTTAGTTCAGTTTTCAAGCAATAAAGAATTTCTTGATACTAAGGATCTTATGATGTTGAGGCAGAACAGGATGTGGCGCATATAAATGAGGAAATAAGCCTTGAAATTATTCACAAATATGAGCCAACCAAGGCGGGCCAGGAGAAGGGCTGGATCTCCATGGACGGGTTCACTAATTACCGTATGTCACCTAACTGTTACATATTCGATCCAGAACATAGGAAGGTCTGCCAGGATATGAAGCAACCTCTGTCTCATTACTTTATAAATTCATCTCATAACACATACTTAATAGAGGATCAGTTCCGAGGTCCCTCTGACATCACAGGATATATCCGAGCTCTTAAAATGGGTTGCCAGAGTGTTGAATTAGATGTATGGGTTGGGCCAGATTACGAGCCTGTCATTTACACAGGCCACACCATGACCTCTAGATCATCTTCCACGGTGTCATTGATATTATTAAGAAGTATGTGTTCTTTGCTTCAGAGGATCCTCTTATCTGTACTTAGAAAATCGCTGTTCTATCAAACAATGAAAAGTAATGGTTCAACATATGAAGAAAATTGTAGGAGACAAGCTCTATACAACATCACCCAATTTTGAGGAATCTTATCTAGCATCCCCGGATGTCCTGAAAGGGAGAATACTAATTAAAGCAAAGAAGCAATCCTGGAATTACTCTGAAGTAGTAGAAGATGTTACTGATGAGGATGAAGGAGCAGAAATGTCTCAGAGGATGGTTAAAGAGAATGTGGAGTGACCCAACTGTGTGCCTGTGAAGCGATTTCAGCTTTGCAAAGAATTGTCTGAGTGGGTCAGCATCTGTAAGTCAGTGCAGTTCAGAGAATTTCAGGTGTCATTTCAAGTTCAGAAGTACTGGGAAGTCTGCTCATTTGATGAAGTGCTTGCCAGCGAATATGCCAATGAAAATCCAGGAGACTCTGTAAATTACAATAAGCATTTTCTTGCTCCGGTCTTTCCTAGTCCAATTAGAACTGACTCTAGTAACATGAACCCTCAAGACTTTTGGAAATGTGGTTGTCAAATCCTGGCCATGAACTTCCAGACTCCAGGACTGATGATGGATCTGAATATCGGCTGGTTTAGGCATTACGGAAACTGTGGCTATGTCTATCGGCCAGGCATCATGAGGGAAGAAGTCTCATTCCTCAGCACCAATACCAAAGACTCCAGCCCAGGAGCCTCACCTCAGCTTCTTCACATTAAAATCATCAGTGGGGAGAACTTTCCCAAGCCCAAAGGCTCAGGTGCCAAAGGTGATGTGGTGAATCCCTACCTTTATGTGGAAATCCATGGGATCCCAGCCGACCGTGCAGAACAAAGGACAAAAACAGTGAACCAGAATGGAGAGGCTCCCATTTTTGGTGAAAGCTTTGAATTTCAAATCAACCTGCCTGAACTGGCCATAGTGCACTTTGTAGTGCCAGATGATGACTATATTGGGGATAAGTTTATTGGTCAGCACACAATTCCCTTTGAGTGTTTACAAACAGGCTACTGCCATGTCCCCCTGCAGTCTTTGACTGGAGAGGCCCTTGCACATGCTTCTTTGTTTGTCCATGTGGCTATTACTAGCTGAAGGGGAGGAGGAAAGCCTCATAAAAGGGGCCTGTGAGAAAAGGGAAGAAATCCAGGGAATATGCATCTCTGAAAACATTGTGGATTAAAACTGTGGATGAAGTGTTCAAGAATGCCCAGCCCCTGATCCAGGATGACACAGATCAGAGAAAGAACATGCAGAGTACAGTGGTGTCATTCAAGGAGCTGTGTGGCCTCTCCTCGCTGGCCAGTCTAATGCAGTGCATGGTGGCAGTGTCTCCCCACTTCCTGGGGCCCGATGACACACCTCAGGTGGTCCTGAATCTCAGCGAGCTATATCCCACCATGGCCATGGAGTTGCAGGGAATTGTGCCAGAGGTACTGAAGAAGATAGTGACAACTTATCACATGAAGATTCAGTCCCTCAAGGCGTTGATTGAAAATGCATATGCTATGTATGAAAAGATCGTGCATTGTCAGAAGGCAGCCATGGAATTCCATGAACATTTGTACAGCATAGGCACCAAGGAGTGTTTGAAGGAAGGAAAACTACAAAAAGCCATAGAGAGCTTTACCTGGCATATTACCATCCTAAAGGGACAAATGGATCTTTTGAAATATGTTAAGAACAATACTTTGGAGAACCTGAAACAAATCCATTTTGCTGCTGTTTCATGTGGACTGAATAAGCCAGGCACTGAGATTGCTGATGCTGAGATCCAAAAGCCACATTGGAGCCTAGAAGTCATACCTGAAAAAAGCAAATGATGAAACTGGAGAATAGAGAAACTTTCTACAAATCCTTATGGAGTTTATAACTCTGGGACCAACTGTAGTCAAATGAGACATTTGCTTTGCATTCATTAATGAGAACAATATTTGGGATTTTAAAAGCACAACTGGAATAGCTAATTACAGTCTACTAAAACTGTGAATGTAGCAATCCTGTGTGTGAAGGAAAATAAACTCTGTAATAAGAAATTATGTTCCTGGCCAAAACATGCTATATTTGTATACAAAAACCTTCTAATGCAGTTCCAGTATGAAGAACAGATTAGCCACTTTAGTTCCACTGAGAAACAGGTATTTTCCTAAGTGGAAATTATTTCTTAAGATTAGAAATGGATTGAACCACCAAATTAGTATTTATTGCTAAAAAGACCTTATCTGCTCATTTTATATATGTGTGTTTGCCAGAGTCTCTGGGTTATTGATGATTTGGGGGTCATGCTTGCTGAGCCATAATTACTGAGGAGAACTAATAGGACAGCTTCCCTGCACCCCCAGGAACCTGGGCAGACCCTTGAGGAGAATAAGGGAGTGCAATTGGACTGAACTCCCTTCTCGAAGACTTGTTTTAGCACTTGGTGGTGGTGGGGGTCTATGATGCAACAGCAACCATTTGAAAGTGATGCCTTGTAAATAGTTTCTCAATGTATGAAGTAGCGTTCACATTAGAGATGTTTTATGATATTTCTCCAATAGCAAAAAAAAAAAAAACCAAAACAAAACAAAACAAAACACAAGACTTTGGAGCTTTTCAAAAGAAAAAATGTGAATACAAAATACACAAGCAATTATCGAAGGTCATCAAAGGTGTCTGTACTAAGAGCATCATTCTTAGTGGTTAATCACATGGCTAAAACTAAGAAGCCATTTACTATTCATAAAGAGTTTATCCTGCCTGCTGCTAAGAATATTTGTTGTTAACTTTTAAAAGAGGCTGCAGTTCAAACGTTAGCACATGTTCCTCTTTTGAGTAGCACCACAATTACATGAACTGATGAAACAGCAGAGGATCTTGAGGCACAGCTGTTAGAGCGGATTAACACATCACCATGCTGCAAAATCCAGAACAGTAAATCTACCAGTGTTGACAATGATGTAATAGTGCTTATTTTTGTTTGATGTATTCTTCAGAAAGATATGTATGAAGTTATATTTATGTTTCCAACCAACATCACAGCTATTCAAGTATTTGAATGAGTACATACCAGAAAAACTGAATTGGTCATTTTGTGTCCATATCTGAATGGACAGAGCGGCTGCCGTGACTGGACAGCTTTTTGTTTTCACTACTTGGGTCAAAGAGGTCTCATATGAATGTGAATCTACATATTGTGTTATCCATAGTGAAATGCTTTCTAGCTGAAACATTTAACAGCATTTTCAGGATATGATTAAATATATCAACCACATTATAGGACATGCTCTTAACCCACATCTGTTCATGCAGCTCCATGAGATGACTGATACAGAGCACACATGTCTTCTTTTAGGCACAGAAGTGAAATTTCTCTTTACAGGTAGCACACTGGCAGAGTTTTTGAGTTACGAGAGCCACACCGGATTTATTTTAGAAAAACAATCACCACCTGCAGTACATATCACTGATATAGAATGAGTCCCAAATCTTGCTTACTTATGTGATATATTCAACTTGCTCAGCGAAATCACTCTGTCACTTCAGGGAGAATGACAACTGTATTCAAGCCAGGAGATAAAGTGGATGCATTCAAAGCCAAAATGTAATTACAGGGATGATGAATGAACACTGGAATTTTTGATGTGTTTCAAAAGTCAGTAGAGATTTTGAAAGAGATGAGTCAGGACCTTCTTTCTCCCAGATGTTACTTGATCACTTATCTCAGTTTTTAAACGAGGTCAAGTGTTACTTCCAACCACAAAAAAATCCTAAACTGGGAAGGAATGGATCTGTGACCCATCTGTGACTAAGCCAGGTCAACTGACTTTGTCCTTCTTAGAAGAGGTTCAATGTTTAACATCACAAATGATGGTGGCCTCAAAAGTAAATCTGAGTCAACTTTAAATATCCATACTTTCTGAATTAAAGTCAAGATGGAGTACCCTAGGACAGCCACAAAGCACTGAAAATTCTGCTTCTGCTTTCAATATCCTGTCTTTCTAAAGCAGAATTTTCTGCTGTGATAGCAACCAAACAGATTATGGAGGAGACCAGACATAAGCAACACGCTTTGCATGTTACCATCTCCCATCACCAACTAGATGGGACTGTCTAGTTGGAAGGTAACAAACTCAGGGGCCCCCACTTATTCAGCATTATGGCCATTACGGTGAGTTGTACAATTACCTCATTATTTATTATAATGTAATAATAATAGAAATAAAATGCATGATAAATGTAATGCGCTTGAATCAGTCCAAAAGCACCCCCTACACACACACCATCTGGTACCCCAAAAAATTGTGATCTATGTAACCAATCCCTAGAGCCAAAAAGGTCAGGGACTGTTGCCCTAGGAAACTTCTTAGATTAAAAATATGACACATTTTTCTCTAGGTCAGCTACTATCTGATCTGGTAAGAAATTACTGTCAGCTCTGTGCTTAGAAATGGCGCCTTCTTGTCCACCATTTCCCCTTTCTCTCATTGTACTCTGAAGGAATGGCTTGCATTCTGTTGAAAGAATCCGTGACCCCTGGGCTGCCTGCTCTGCTCTCTTTCCAACTGAAATGTTCCTTTATTTTTATGATTAGTACTTGGTCCTTCAGCTCATTTAAAATTACTTGCTCAGAAAACAGTCTATGGTGCTCTTATTAATACTCTCTCCTTCCATCTCACACTCTACCTCATCATAACGTCATTAGAATATTTGCTACTACCTGAAATGAGTTACTTCTAATTATGGTCCTTTAATGAATCTGTTGGCTCACTGAAGTAACACATTGTCTGGCCCATAGTGTCAGGCACACAGTAAAGAGTTGTTTAATTAAATAAGGGGAAAGATCTTAGAAATCAGACCTAAAGCCCATTTGCTTTAATTTGGAGAAGTCTGAAACATTGTTGGCAAAAGTAAGGTGAAACATGAGCTAAAAATAATAATAGCAAGAGTGAAAAACGGGAAATGGAATTTAGAGGTAGACGCGAAGTGGAAGGGGACTGAAAAAAAAAAACAACAAGCTGTATTATGCACATACACTCAGAGATAAATGCAAACATCATGTACTTCAAACATGGACTAATAAAACAAAAGAAAAAATGAGTAAGGTTTGATTCAAAACATATGAGAAATTCTACAGATTATATTAAAAATGGGAATTTTGCTTTATTTATTCCAATATACAATATATGATGCTTGAGTACAGCGCCAGGGACACAATACATACTAGTTATACTTTTGGGACACTGAGGAGACAGGTTGCCTCCTTTACATGCTTTCTGGATTACTTTGGAGCTGTGAAAACTGCCTTCCATTCACTGTTATTCACAAAAACACAGGTATTTTTGACTCCTTTACCCTTTGAGAAGCATCCTAATTTTGTATCTCCCCCCCTCCATTTTTTGGGGGCACATTTTTCTGGTTCTCTTCATATTCTTTCTCATAATTTGTATTTTACTTTTTATCACTGCACTTACTTCTTAAACTTCTGCACTCCTCAAGGCTCCAAATGTGCCTGATTTTTCACACTGCAGCTTGCAAATTGGAAGCATTCCATGTAATCCAGTGAGTTTCAAATTCAGATCTCTACTTTCCTCTGAGCTCCATACTCAAATGACTAATTGCTGCAAAAGTTTGTCTAGTTCTCCACCAATACCTCAAATTCATGTGTAATACCAAGCCCATCATCTCAATCAAAATCCTGCTCCTCCTCAGAAAGTTTCATTCTCAGGGTTTTCCTGAATTCTTGCTGCTAATTTCTGTCTTCACCATAATGCTGAATATTCTACCCTATATTGTTTTCTTATACTCTTCTTTTTTTCAACCCCACTGACTAGTTGATATAATTGAACCCTTCATTATCTCTTTCCTGGGTACTTTTTAATTGGATTTTCCAATTAGTTTTACTGTTTTCTCTCACTTTAACTTCAACCCATTCTCTGCCTACAACTGAAGCATTAAGAAAAAAAAAAAATACTCCTACCGCTGAAATGTTTGAAACTCTTCGGTGAATTTCCATTGCTTACAAACCAGAATAAACACATTAGGCTTAATGGCAAATCTCTTTCCCTGATGTTGATATGTTTTCAGTCACATTTCTTACCCCTGTGACCAACACCTGGCATCTGGTGACAGAAGACTTTTGTTTCAGGGCAGATTATGTTTGTATGAACCACAAATAGTTTCACACATGCTTTTCTTCACTCTGCCAGCAATGACTATCCCCAAGTTCTAACACTGTTCTGCTTACCTTTCAAGAATAAATGCTTTTCTAAAGTCCAATTTAAAAACAAGATCTTTGAAAAAGTCACAGATCCCCACAGTTACAAAATTTAGTCTTTCATATTCCAGTATTTGTAATGATTTTTTTTAGGAATTTTCATAGCAGTATTATTCGCATACTATTTCAAATTACTTGTACTTGGTTTTTCTACTAAATCTTAATCTCGTCAAAAACCACACATCAGTCATCTTTTACCTTCTCAGAAGCTACCTTGCTACCCAATCTTTGAGCAACAGAGTATAGTATAAAATTTGGGCATTTTGTAATAACCCTGCAGATCTAAGTTTTAAAGTTTGCTTTGCAATTTACCAGCAGTGTGATTTGGAAGAGTAGTTTGACCTTTTTGAGGTTCGGAGTTTTTCACATGTAAAAAGATACAATAAATATTTGTTCAGCAAATATTTATTAATTCATACTATGGGTCATGCATTGTTGTAGCTTCTGGGGATATGTTACTTAACAAATGTACCAGAACATCTGTTTTATGGAGACTTCCAACCAATCGATTTGTTGGAAAGTTCAAAGAGGTAATTCTGCACAAATTGCTTGTCAACTCTGAACTATTATGGGGATCTTAGATCTTGTTTCTTCCCGAAATAGGAAAATCTGAAGAAAAAATATTTGGTTCAGTCATTACAAGACCCTTTAGTGATCGCTTAACCATACTATTTGATCTAGATCATGGCTCATTTTTGTCTCTCACTCTCTCTCTTATTCTCTCTTTTTTCCTTTTTAGGAAAATATGTGGAATCTGATGATAAACAAGGAGAATAGTCCTCAAAAGGATCCTTGTCAAATGATTTTAACATAAAACGTACAAGTAAAATAATCATATACTGTTATCAGATGATGAAGAAGAGGCCTGTCTTATTCTTTTTAATGATTTGGGCATTCATGGGTATATGCAATCAGAAAAGGTGTATGGTGGACTTTTTTGCTCTTATTGTAGTTTTCTTATTGTAGCATTACATATATATATATATATATATATATATATATACAT